CGACTGGTTCTGAGCGGCCTTGTCGTCTTGCATGGGGGGCTGCACCCTTGTCGCGTTCTGGTTCGGAAATATTCCTTCAGCATCTCTGCGACGCCAACCACTACAGTCCAAGTCTCCTTGGACTCTTCCTGCCGATGCTCACCTATCTTGAAAAACTGCACCGGTTGACTCTTGATGGTTGAATTTGCTAACTTCAAAGGATTAACTTAGACGATAGGAAAGTTTGACCGGTATACTATCCGAAGTGTACCGGTCAACCTTTTGGTCAACCATCTATCCCTTTCGCTGACGATTCAGGTCCTCCACTCAAGTTCAACCTCTTTGACTGGTCAACTATTTGGTTCCGTCCTTTGACCGGTCATGGGTGAAATACACCCATCAGAACTTATAAATGCTTATTGATTGATTATGAAAGTTATACCGTTGGATAAAGATCGACGAATTGAATCCAACGATGCAAACAGATCTCAATTCGGAGCAAGTTCACCCGAAAAGTGTATTTTAACACTTACTTTAAACTAGAGTACAAAACCCTAAGATATATATAGGATCTTGCTTCGATCCAAATCGCCGTCGTCCTAGCTCCTCTTTCTTCTTCTATTCGCAGACATGGGTTACGACGGCAAGGCGGAAGAGTCCGACCGGCGACGATCTACAGAGGCGACGACGGGGAGCTATCTGGGAACCTCGAACCAGCGAGCTCCGACCGTCCGACGATGTCTGGCCAAAATCCGAGCAACAGCGCTCTATCCAACGGCGAGTTCCGGCAGCGATGCCGGTGACCGACCACAGTGGACCAGCGACGATTTCTGCCGGCAACCCCCTATCCAGCGACCTCTGTTCCGGCGAAGTCCAGCAGCTCCGACAGAGTAACAGCCAGCAACGATGACAGATCCGGGCGGGCTTGGGCAGTGACGGGCTTGCTTGGGCAACGATACCGGACTGTGCGTGACGCCGTCTACCCTCTCCGTTTGGGAGTTTCTCTCTACGGGAACTGCAGTGCTGGCCAGTGTTCACGTAACACGGTTCACAGAGGATCCTAAACTACTGCTTCCTCCTTGATTTTGTTGTGTTTTTTGTGCAAAATTTGGATCTCCAGGATCGACTTCAATAGAGGATTCCATTTTTGAGTTTATCTTTTCTAATTTGGGAATGGATTTTGCTGAAATTGGTATGTCTTCTTCATCTTCTTCTTCATTTAATATTGATTATTTAAATTGTATCCTATGGCTGCAAAATAGTGACTGCTCTGCCAAGATATAGATTTAGTTCTCTAAATGCCTCAAGATTTGGTAGCCTGATATCATCACAACCTCTATACAATGTCTATATTTGTGTGTATATAATCTCAGATAAAAGGATGCACTCCACTTAGTCAGGTTTAATGTTAATAAAATGCTAATTTGTTTTTTTTTTGTATGCACTTGTTTCTTCTTTTCTTGATAAATTATTATTTTAAACTGCTTGAATAATTTCAACATAAAGGTAGCACATGGTGTCATGTTGAGAACTTGCAAAGAGACTAAAGAGGGTAAAATCCTTGAAATTCATGTTGTAAAAAAGGATAGCTTAGTGCATAAAACATCATGCCAGGTAAGGGTTTCATGCAATTGCACATACATACACAAGAGAAAACAATCTATGTTTTTTATTAGGTTTTAAGAACTTTACTATCTAGCATAGTGGAAATGCTTTTGTTTGTTTGGCTAATTGAGCAAATCATTGCAGGGTACAAACTTTAAAAAAATAGAGACTTGTGGTGAACAAGATTGTTAGAGGATGACACCTTTTCTGGTCACTTGAGAAGCTTCTTTAGTACGGTGTGGGATTCATTTATGTATCTATTTGGTCAGTCATATGTGTCCTCTGTCGGTGCTATGTCACTGTTAGTTGCAACAGTATGTTTTGTGCCATCAAAGGTATCTCGTAAAAAGCGAGTCATTATTGGGATTCTTCATGTGTCTGCCCAGCATTGATCCTCACAATCTTGTTGGAACTTGGTGTTGAGACATGTATTAGGCATAATCTACTCGGCACATCAGGTTAGTGAGATTTTGACTGCATTCTTTTGTTTATTTTCATATTTCATTGACAGTTAGAAAGAACATAGGACTAATGTACATAGGAATGTTATGTTGTTTGGTGCATAGGTTATCATACCCTATATGAATGGTACCAATCAGCCGAGAGTGAGCATTTCCCAGATCCTACTGGTCTTAAAGAACGTTTAGAGCGATGGACATTTGGCCTTTATCGAGCCTGCATCAAGTATCTCATGTCTGCATTTGATGTGCCTGAGGCAAGAACAAATGTTAACTACTACTGCAATTAATGCTAATCAACTACTACTTATTTTATTTTTTATGGGTTGTGTGGGCCAGGTAATGGCGGTGACGAGGAACAACATATGCAAGAATCACTGTCGCGTGGGATTGCTGCAATATATTATGCGTTTGTGCGTGAAAGAGGTGTTTGAAGTACAACTAAGTTTAGTTATCACATTCATGCAATTTAATTTTTTAATACTAGGTTCATTGCAACCAATTACTAGGTCGATCCAGAAGAGCGAGACTTTCATGAAGTTGATAAAGGTTATTGATATGAATCAGTTACTACATTGGGGATGACATGTATGAGACAATGATTGAATTCGCAAGGCATTTCATGAAGTATCATGCAACTTGAACAATTCAAGTATGATATGGGAACAAATGACTAATTTAGTTGGCTCAATGGACAATTATAATGTCCTTTTATTTATGTAAATATTAATTATTTGATGATATTAATATTTTGAATGTATGTTTTTAGATATTAATCGATGTATTGTAATTTTTGGAATTTATTTTTGTTTTAGGATTAATATTTTATAATTGAAACAAGTTTTAATTATTAAAAATGGGTGCCTTCGATTTAGAGAGACAATACAAAATAATCATAGTTGGATAAACAATTAGACCACTATTCAACTTGATAGTTTGAATTGTATACAGTTAACTACACAAACTTGTAGTCTTAATAATTGTTAGACATCTAGAACACACAATTGTTTGAAATGAAACAAAATAGTCTTATACGTTCTACATATATTATAGAAAATAACAGTTGTTTGCATATTATTTAAACAAAATCATAGTGTTAATAATCCTTATACAACAAAAACAAACAATTGTTTAAAATAAGACCAAAGTAATAGTCTTAATTTGTACGTACAACACAAAATAACAGTTGTTTGATGAAAATATTTGTAGTGGTCTTTCGAGCAGCTGTCTGATAATCAATTACACTACTATTCAAAAATATAATTTAAATATTTTAAGGACAACTGCAACAAAGTGTAGTGTTATTGCGCACTATACAATTGAAAGAAACGGTTGTTTAACATACAACAAAATTAGTAATCTATGTTTTAGAAATATAACACTAGATAACAGTTGTCTGATATTATTTTTGTTTAGTAGTCTTCCGAGTAGCAGTCTGATATATATTTAACCTACTTTAGAAATTAGATATCTATATTTTTGACCGACAACACCAAACAATAGGAGTTTGAAGTTGAAAACAACAGTAGTATATATTATAGATAGACAACAAAAAATCACAATTGTCTTTAACTCTAGAAAACAGATGTCTTACTCATACGAGGACAACTTCAAAAACATGTACTCTGAAAGATCACAAAATAGGTGTCGTCAACCACACTACACAATTGTTTTTAAACAGTAGTCTGTAAATATATGAGACAGCTGCTCGGAAGACTACTAAAACCAACACAGTTAGACAACTAAAAGAAACAGTTGTCAGCATCTGTTTTTGACATAGTGTATAAGTTAAGATGTTTGCACCGTCAAAACCTTTACATGACTCAGACTCCGTGTAACTGTATCCCTTTGTCTCAATGTCTAAACTTTATGCAAGGGATTAATAAAATCCAACTTGTATCCATTAAGTCATGATTCACTTATTTATCAAGTCTGACTAATAGGAACAGACGTCATAAAAGCATCTCAGCATGGCCATGCAATTTCCTCAGTCATAACTTATCACTGGGCCCCATAAGACATTAATTTCGTAAAAAGAGTAGTGACAAATCCTATGTACGTAATCTACATTTCTGAATACGCGCTGCGACATACCCAAAACAAAGCCTGTATACCATCCTTATTTCATTTGGCTTAGGACAATGCATCAAAGTATGTGGGTTCACATATGCAGAAAACGTAATACTTCAAGTCGAAGGATAGTTACACCCGTGGTCGGGCTAAAGATATTTAGAGCATGAACTAAAAGTTTCGGCATCCTATTATCTCTAGATAATATCTGCCCATGTGCGGATGCAAACACACCGTCATTGACTATGAGACTAAGTCAAACATCCAACACACACTAGTCTCACATGCATTAACGATATCCCACTCTCGTTAATACTTGACTATGGACATTTAGATAAATATTTATTTCAAGATGTTAGTCTCATCAGCAGAATAACACTATCTGATAAACATCTTTTAAATAGAAATCTAGGAATATAATATTTGTTTACATTAGCATGAGATGTGTAAACATATTATATCTGCCTATACATGATAGGATAACGATGAACAGTTGGCCATCAGGGCACAACTCCAACAATCTCCCACTTACACTATGGCCAATCTGGCATCAGTCGAATGCCCATGGACCTAGTGTGACCCTCATGCTTTAGCTTTCCTAAAGGCTTGGTCAAGGGATCGGCTATATTGTCGTCAGTATCTACTTTGCAAATCATCACATCTCCTCTATTCTACGATTTCTCGTTTGATGTGATAGCGTCGTACAATGTGTTTGGTTTTCTGGTGAGATCGCGGTTCCTTTGCCTGTGCAATGGTCCCAGTGTTGTCGCAAAACAACGAGATAGGGTCATTATTACTAGGAACCACTCTAAATTCAGTAATGAACTTCTTGATCCAAACAGCTTCTTTAGCTGCCTCGGCGGCAGGTATGTACTCAGCCTCTGTAGTCGAATCGGCGGTTGTATCCTCCTTGAAGCTCTTCCAGCTAAAAGCTCCGCCATTAAGGCAAAACAAATATCCTGCTTGTGATTTTGAATCGTCTCTGTCGGTTTGGAAGCTAGCATCAGTGTAACCGACCACCTTTAGCTCTTTCTCACCACCGTATACCAGGAATGCATCCTTAGTATTGCGAAGATACTTGAGGATGTTCTTGACCGCTGTCCAGTGTGCTTCTTCTGGACTTCTTTGGTATCTGCTGGTCAGGCTTAAAGCGAATGAGACATCAGGTCTAGTACATATCATGGGGTACATGATGTATCCAATCACAGAGGCGTATGGAACCTTCATCATGAGTTCCTTCTGCTCGGGAGTAGAAGGACTCTGGCTCTTGGAAAGAACCGTGCCAGGTGTCATAGGTAAAGATCCTTTCTTTGAGTTAGACATGCTAAATCGATCAAGAATTTATCTATATATGTACTTTGATTCAGACCTATTAACTTTCTTGATCTATCTCGGTAGATTCTTATGCCAAGGACATAACTAGCATCCCCTAAGTCTTTCATGGAGAAGTTCTCACTCAACCACGTCTTTACAAAAGTGAGAGTGGGAATATTGTTACCCATTAACAATATGTCATCGACATATACGATTAGAAATACTATTACACTCCCACTGACCTTCTTGTATACACAAGATTCGTCAGAGTTCTTCTCGAAACCAAAACTGGAAATGGTTTCATCGAAACATATATACCAACTCCAAGATGCTTGTTTCAATCCGTAGATTGAACGTTACAGTTTACAAACTTTGGCAGACTGACCAGCAATTTGAAAACCATCAGGCTGTGTCATGAAGACATCCTCTTTGAGGTTCCCGTTAAGGAAAGCCGTCTTGACGTCCATCTGCCAAATTTCGTAATCGTAATAGGATGCAATCGGAAGCATTATCCGAATGGATTTCAGCATAACAACTGGAGAAAAGGTTTCATCATAGTCAATTCCGTGGATTTGCCTATAACCTTTTGCTACCAATCGAGCTTTGAAGGTATGAACCTTCCCGTCTACGTCTGTCTTCTTTTTGAAGACCCACTTGCATCCAATGGGTTTTACCCCTTCGGGCGCATCAACCAAGGTCCAAACTTGGTTTGTGTACATAGACTCCATTTCAGATTTCATGGCTTCGAGCCATAGATCGGATTCGGGGCATGTAATTGCCTCGAGGTAGGTCTCTGGTTTGCCTTGATCTACCAACAAGACGTCACCTTCATCAGACATGAGAAATCCATATCTGACCGGAGGATTACGTATCCGATCTCACCTACGTGGTATATCTTGAGTAGTTTGAGGTTCAATTGCTTGATCTCTTTGCTCATGTTCCAACACTATCGGGACTTCTTCTTGTGGTTCTCGAATTTCTTTGAGGTCTACCTTTCTCCCACTAGTGATAGCAGAAAGAAACTCCTTCTCAAGGAAGGTTCCATTCCGAGCAACAAAAATTTTGTTATCGCATGGATGATAGAACTCATACCCTCTAGTTTCCTTGGGGTATCCCACAAAAATTACTTTATCAGATTTAGGCTCCAACTTACTAGACGTCATGAGACGTTTTACTATACATAAGCTTCACAGCCCCAAATCTTAAAGTACGAGAAACTCGGTTTTCTCCCACGCCATAGTTCGTATGGTGTTCTCTCGACAGCTTTAGATGGAACTCTGTTGAGTGTGTGTGCTGCTGTTTTCAATGCATATCCCCAAAATGATTCTGGCAATGTTGTCAGACTAATCATGCTCCGGACCATGTCTAGCAAAGTCCGATTTCTCCTCTCAGACACTCCATTTAACTGAGGTGTCCCCGGAGGAGTGAGTTGGGATAAGATCCCATGCTCTTTCAGATAGTCATCGAACTCCAGGCTTAAGTATTCACCTCCTCGNGAAACTCGGTTTTCTCCCACGCCATAGTTCGTATGGTGTGCTCTCGACAGCTTTAGATGGAACTCTGTTGAGTGTGTGTGCTGCTGTTTTCAATGCATATCCCCAAAATGATTCTGGCAATGTTGTCAGACTAATCATGCTCCGGACCATGTCTAGCAAAGTCCGATTTCTCCTCTCAGACACTCCATTTAACTGAGGTGTCCCCGGAGGAGTGAGTTGGGATAAGATCCCATGCTCTTTCATATAGTCATCGAACTCCAGGCTTAAGTATTCACCTCCTCGATCAGAGCGGAGGGTCTTAATACTTTTGCCTAATTGTTTTTCTACTTCGTTCTTGAATTCTTTGAATTTGTCAAAGCATTCCGATTTGTGTTTCATGAGATACACATATCCATATCTACTAAGGTCGTCAGTAAATATAACAAAGTAAGAATAACCACCTCTAGCTACAGTGCTAATTGGACCACAGACATCGGAGTGTATGAGGCCCAATAAGTCACTTGCCCTTTCACCGTGACCGGTGAATGGAGCCTTTGTCATTTTACCAAGTAAACAAGATTTACATACATCATATGACTGGAAGTCAAATGAATCAAGTACACTGGAACGATGTAACTTAGATATGCGTTTCTTGTTAATGTGGCCCAAACGACAATGCCAAAGGTACGCGAGATTCAAACTATTAGGTTTGTTTCTCTTAACATATACGTTATATACTGCAGTATCCATGTCGAGGACATAGAGACCGTTAGTCATTTTTGCACTTGCATAAAATATATCATTTCTAAAGATAGAAAGATTTTTGTCTTTTACAACGAATGAAAATCCTGCTTTGTCAAGGCAGGATACAAAAATGATATTTCTGCTCATACTAGGTACAAACAGACAATTATTCAAATGCAATATTAGACCACTAGGTAGAGATAAACTATAGGTTCCGACGGCCAATGCATAGACAAGTGCGCCATTGCCGACTTTTAGTTGTATCTCTCCCTCCGTCAATTGTCTACATTCATGCAAGTTCTGCATAGAAGTACAGATGTGAGAACCACATCCAGTATCCATCACCCAAGAGGTGATATTAGACATATTGACTTTGATAACGTAAATTCCTGAGTTTTGGGGCTGACCCTGGTAAAGGTCTCTTAAGCATTGTATCATAGGACGCACTTCCATGTCCGCGTGGAGCCTTTGGAGCTCCGCGGTCATACTGGCCATAATGATACACTTTACATCTCGCGCGTCGTCCTCATACTTCTTGAAGGAAGTGAGTTTGAACGCATGAGCATTAGCATCAGGGGTCTTGGGAGGATCCGTTTCGAGGATGTAGAGTTTCCTCTCACAGTTAAGAACGATTCGGAGGTTCATCTCCCAGTCAAGAAAGTTGGTCCCGGATAACTTGTTGTTTTCCTGGATGTAACGCAGGTTGAAAGGGTTGTTGTTGTTTGCCATCTACAGAAAATTTTGCAAAATAGGTTATCTATCATGTTTAATAATTAATTAGGCCTTTAATTAATTATCTCCCACTATTTTTAACAAATCAATAACCCTCGATATTGATTCTGAGCTTTCTGGCGAAACCTCTAGTGGGCCAAGATCCATATTTCATTATCTTGCGTTCCGCTTGGGCGTTACTCCACAAGACAACTATTTAGGTAGGAAAATAGTTCCAACTGATGAGCTGTGCTGGTGGTCTGGTGTTGGGCGAACAATATTACTACAATCGGACTAGGACACCTTTTCACCATACTTGTAATTGGCTGAGGCACGTCTTACAAGCAGACTACTTTGGTTAGGAACAAAGTTCCAATTAAATCATAAAGATCCAACTCCTGGCTAGATGAGTGAGTAAAATCATCCGACTTGTCATTGATGACCCCAACATACTGCCTCTGAGTCGTCCATCCATTTGACCGAGACTCAGTTAAGCTAACCCAACGTACGACAGCGACCATGCTATGGCGGTTCCCGTAACCAGCTTAACATACACCGTACTATGCTCTACTGAGGCTGAGTACATGACAGTACACATTAGCCGGATAGGTGCCGGGCGTCAGAAGGCAACAGACTTAATATTCGTGAGGGATTTATAATTTTGATCTCACCTATCGACATGGCCGCGCACATGTCCAGTACTAGCGTTCAACATGCATTCAACATGTATTCACAAAACACAGTAAATAAACGTGTAATGATTGTGGCCCCTAAAAAAATAAAACGATAGCTCACACTGGCTTCCGGGCACTTGAACTTCGGGCTATCTCCATTCTTTTAGATTTCTCCAAATGGTCATGAAATCTTTTCATCTTCTAACCACCACGTGAGAAAAGAATCCTCGGTTGAGGTAAGAGAGAGAAATAGATTTACAACAAGAGTTTAAAAGATAAGGCACGACACGCAGGCCGTATTATAATCAAATAAACTATAGCCAAAATCATCTACCATGATATCATACATCCACACAGGCAATAGAGATATACATACACCGGGTGAACCGTGCTCACCCCAGACAGTTCTAAAAAAAATACTACGGGAGTAAATAATTTCTAAAACTCATAAAATTAAATTAGATGTCCAAATAAATCTAATAAATTTTTATAAAATCATTTTATATAATCTGGATATTCGGCCAGCATAAAAAAAATTCCAGAATATTTCAAATGACCAAAATGCCCTTTTTGCAAAATTATATTTAAAAAGGCCATAAAAATTTTGAAACATTTTTGCAAAAATCATGAAATTAAATTTCAACTTCCAGTAATTATTTTCAACATTTATAAACATGGAAATAAAATTTCCAAAATTTATAAATCATTATTTCCGAAATATATTTGTTAAATCTCAATAAGTTATAAAAAGCCATTTAAATTGGTATAAAAATTTAATATTTTGAAAAACATTCTTTTTCTTACTGAGATATAACTTTCCAAAATATATATTAGTCATTTATGTAATTAAAATACAAATATATAAATATATATAATATTTTGGTAATAAAACCGAGTACATATATAAATATAAATTTATTTAATTACTAACTAATATTATTTTTTACAATATATTTATCAACAACCTTATTCAACTTAGAAATAATATTTCCAAGTTTAATAAAGTTCATTTTGAATTTTCCCATATTTATTTTCGGTTTTCACCTAAATAAATACAATAAATTCAAAATAGGAAATAATACATTCAAAAATTACAATATAATTTTATCAATCATAAAATGATGTTTTATGTCCAAATAAAATTATATTTACTATTTCTACAATATATATAAATATATATTTCGAAAAATCAAAATATATNGTCATTTATGTAATTAAAATACAAATATATAAATATATATAATATTTCGGTAATAAAACCGAGTACATATATAAATATATATTTATTTAATTACTAACTAATATTATTTTGAACAATATATTTATCAACAACCTTATTCAACTTAGAAATAATATTTCCAAGTTTAATAAAGTTCATTTTGAATTTTCCCATATTTATTTTCGGTTTTCACCTAAATAAATACAATAAATTCAAAATAGGAAATAATACATTCAAAAATTACAATATAATTTTATCAATCATAAAATGATGTTTTATGTCCAAATAAAATTATATTTACTATTTCTACAATATATATAAATATATATTTCGAAAAATCAAAATATATGTATTTATATATATATTACGGGTAGAAATAAAATAAATAAATTTAAAATTCATTTTCAATGATTTATTTAAGTCCGATACTTATTCCAAGACTAAATAAAATCATTTTACCAATTTTTGAATTTTAATCATTACCAAGTTAAAACTTTGACTTTTAAAATTTTAAAAGTCAAACGTAAAACTATAGTTTTGTACGTTGGCTCCGATACCACTGAAAGGTAATCATGCATGGATAGGCAGCGGAATATAAAAATTTTAACATCCTAACATGATTATCTTGCCCAGAATCACGTACTAAAACATATAGTGAGTAAGAAATTTATACCTTTATCCGTAAGCGGTAAAAACGAAGAAGTCGTAGGAAGAGCGTTGAAAGTGCAAACGTAACCGTTCAAGCGTCCGGTCTCCAACTTTGACACACGAACAACGCCGGAGTCTACCACAATCTTTATGCTAGTAAAGATTATAGTAGTATAAAATATAAAGATTAAAATTGGGATAATAATAATCTTGTATATTTCTTATAGAAAATATTTCTAGTAATATTTAGAAAATATTATAGATATTTTCTATACACAAAATGATATTAATGGAACACAAAATATTTTCTCTCACTAGAAAAATTATGGCCGAATCATGCATGCCAACCATGGCCTAATCTCACACGATTTATTTAGAAAGTGGCGTGCCAAAAAATTTAAATAAAAACAAATGATTAATTTGACTTTGTCATTAACTAAATGACAAAACATTATTAGCTCCACTAATTTCAATCAAGGAAATTTGATTCTTTAAAATCTCCACTTGGCCGTATATGTTTGTATTTGAGAAGGATATTCAAAATTCTTCTCCACTTAAATGTTCAAAGTGTATTTTATTTGACATCAAAACAGAGGCGGATCCAGGATTTCAAGGTCATGGGGTCCCTTACAGAGTTACGGGCTACGGCCTTACCTGACTACGTTCCATTCTCATGTCAAACTAATTCATAAGTCTTAACATATAACAATAAATTAAAACTAATATTTACGCTTCTTAGGTCCAATAATCTTATACGGGAAATCATGACTTTTGGGTTGAAAAGGTCCTTTTTGAAGATAACTACGACGTACCTCATCTTGGACGTTTGGATGAAAGTCAGAAATTTTCTTTCTTAATCCAGGGTCAGCTTCCAAAGATTCAAAATCAAAGTTGCTCTCATTAGAAGTGCATTGAGTGCTTTCCCGAACATGTGTAGGTTGAGTCACTTGAGTGCCTTCTAAAACATGAGTAGATTGAATATTTTCTTGAGTATTTAGTTGAGGCACCGGAGCGATAACATTGTTACCAATTGCACTCGACTCCGAATCTTTAAATTTGGCTACTTTTTTGAAGTACCTTTGCATTTTGAATTCTATAAATTAAACATAAAATGAACATTATTACAATAATTAATAATATTTATCACTTTTTACTTGCAATCCTAAATCAATTTTTAAATTTAGTAAAATAAAGAAAAGTTTTTACCTTACTGCGGGAGTGACGAAGACCGGAGACGGGGAAGAAGATGAAGCAGGGTGCCTGGAAGCCTGACTGCGGCGGTCGCCCGTCGCTGGCGGCCTGGCGGGTGGAGGCTGGACGGCGGTTGCTGGTCTGCAAGTCGCGGTCTCGCGTCGGCTGGGCGTAGTGGGCAGCAGAACGGCAGATTAGAAGTTTAGGGTTCCAAATTCCAAAATCAAAAATGTAAATTAAAGAATTGGGGAAGAGAAGAAATTTGCTGAGAAAATGTGGGGAGGAAACGACGCCACTGAGAAAATGGGGGGAGGAAACGACGCCGTTTTGACTTTTGTTGCTTATAAAGTAAAATTTGACTGAGAGAAATTGTCTCCAAAAAAAAAAACCTCCTCTGGGACTCGAACCCCCATCTCAAGGGAGCATCATCAGGCCGAACTTCCACTGAACAAAACGCGCTTCTGTTTACTAAGTGACAAGCGTTTTTTTATATATTAACATTAATACATACCTAATACCTATATGGACCTACACCGGGGTCCGTGGGGTCCCGGGACCCCGTCGGACTCAAGGTGGGTCCGCCTCTGCATCAAAAATTAATATAAAATTAATTTTAAATCAAATAAAATATCAATATCATTTTTAAACAAGTATACAAATATACTTTAAATAGTTTATGTCAAAATAATTATTTTTCATAATTAAAATGACAAACCAAAATAAAATATTCAATATATAATATATATATATTAATCGGTACAAATATATATGTAATATATATATATAACCGAATATCATATATATAATATTATATTCCAAAATATTTTATTTTACTATTTTACAAATATACAAATTACTTATTATCCCATTGTTTAATCTTACTCCTTAAATTGTCCAAAGTGTATGACCCGTATAGGCATTTATAAAGCTGGCCACAGTATTGGCCCTGCACCAATACTATAAGCAATAAGCGGTATCTAGCAACACATTATTGCCCCCAGATTATAAGTTAAGACGTTTGCACCGTCAAAACCTTTCCACGACTCAGACTCCATGTAACTGTATCCCTTTGTCTCAATGTCTAAACTTAATGCAAGGGATTAATAAAATCCAACTTGTATCCATTAAGTCATTCACTGGTTTATCAAGTCTGACTAATAGGAACAGACGTCATAAAAGCATCTCAGCATGGCCATGCAATTTCCTCAGTCATAACTTATCAGTGGGCCCCATAAGACACTAATCTCTTAAAAAGAGTAGTGACAAATCCTATGTACGTAATCTACGTTTCTGAATACGCGCTGCGGCATACCCAAAACAAAGCCTGTATACCATCCTTATTTCATATGGCTTAGGACAATGCATCAAAGTATGCGGGTTCACATATGCAGAAAACGTAATACTTCAAGTCGAAGGATAGTTACACCCGTGGTCGCGCTAAAGATATTTAGAGCATGAACTAAAAGTTCAAACAACATCTTTAGGATGGGTCAGTACGGCATCCTATTATCTCTAGATAATATCTGCCCATGTGCGGATGCGAACACGCCGTCATTGACTATGAGACTAAGTCAAACATCCAACACACACTAGTCTCACATGCATTAACGATATCCCACTCTCGTTAATACTCGACTATGGACATTTAGATAAATATTTATTTCAAGATGTTAGTCTCTGTTGGAATGCATGAGTTCAACCCTTTATGTGTTGTTAAGTGTTGACTCACAGGTTTTGATAATTGACAAACATAATTGATTCAAGTCAAGATCAAAGTGCCCCAACGACACACACGAAAACTTGAAGTATTCAAGAAGGTGCACAGGATTTTATTGGAGTCCGAGATGCGTTCAGAGCGCCTAACGGAGGACTCGGAGGAGTAGAAGATTTCTAAAGACTTTTTATTTATTTTAGTCTTAGGAACTATTGTAAGGATGACAAAAATATCTTCTCTCCAAAATTATTTTTATGAGATTTAAAATAAAAATTATATTTATTTTTGGAGTCAGTTGAAAAATCTTTTTAACTGTTCAAATAGTTCTATTGAGTCACTTACAAAAGGTGTGCCAAACATTTATCAAATATTTATTTTGATATTATAAAATATTTTTGGTAAGCAAAAAAATTTTATTCAAATATTTTTCGTGTACATCGTTTGACACACAAAATATTTTTGGGACTCAATTTCTACACCAAAATTCTTTATTTAATTCAAATTTTGAATTTGAATTAATTCTTTCAAACTTACTTGATTTGTTTGTTTTTGGGAGCCTTATAATGTTGAAAACATGTCCTAAACAAAACATTAAGCTCCAAATATCCATCCCACTCGCACACATGCTTTGGGTCCTCGTGTTTGGGCTCTGTCTGTCATTGGATCAATCCTTCTTTGTGGATCGATCACTTCGATATGTGCTCAAAGATTGGGATCGATCCATTCTTTCGGATCGATCACTTTGTTTTTTCGGCAATTCCGTCGGTGGATCGATCACCCTGTTTGAATCGATCCGCCGTAACTCTGTCCAAAATCATTTTTAGATTTTTGACTCCATAGGATCGATCCTTTCCTTTAGATCAATCCCCCGTTCTTTTGTCAAAAATTTATTTTCGAAAGTTTACTCCGGATGATTGATCCGCAGCCCTGGATCGATCCCCAACGTCTTTTATCTCTCAAAATCAGCCTTCCCTACTCCTAACGGATTTATTTCTTTTTCCTCTATATAAACACTCTTCCTTGGTCATTTTTAACAATAAGAAACACTCCAATATTCCCCAATCTTGAGGTGTTAATCCTCCATCAATCTTTCCTCAAATTTATATTATTTTGAGAGAAAACTAAGTGTTTTCAAGTGTTGGGAAAAATATTATAGATTTTGATGATGATGTATTTAGAATGTAATAGGGACTTTAGGTCTCCCCCATTATTCAATGTAATTTTTTCTTTTTAGAAATATTGTCAAAACCGAGCTCTTGAGATTTCCAATAAAAGCTGTGATATTTCTTTAAGCGTTTTGATGCCTAAAGGCTTAATCAAATTTAGTGATATGGAAATTGGATATCTAGTTCGGAAATGTCAGACCCACCTTCGAACCTCGTTAAAGTTTGCGTGTCTCTCTCTTTTATCTTTACTCTTACTTGCACTTACATTAACTGTGAAAACTAACCCATCCATATTGATTACTGCTCACTCTACCCACCAAATTCCGCACACAATCTAAAGTTCACAAGAACTCTAGATTAACACTTATTTTCACGTTTTCAAAAGAAACGAAAAAGATTTTAAATCTGTTACAAAGTCTATTCACCCCCCCCCTCTAGACTTTGTATCTCACCACTTTGGGACCACCATCAAGAGAGTGTTTTGTCATCCATTAGAGATTTAATCATTTCTCATTTATACTCTTTTGAGAGCTTTTGTTGAGAGGCTGAAGAAGATTGTTCTTCTTGTTGTTCAAGACCTTTGTGACTTAAGTCTTGGTTGTAAAGTCTTGTAGAGGGCATATCTACGAGCGGTTGTGACGAGGCTTGTGAGATTCAAGTTCTCGAGTTGTAAACGATTTGTTAAGCACCCGAAAGCTTAACGGAAGTAGTGGTAGCTTCGAGAGAGTCTATCGGGGAACTGGACTAGCCACGAGGTGGTGAACCAGTATACATCGGTGTATTCTTTGCCTTCTCTCTTTTAATTCCGCTGCACTTACGTTTATATTATTAATCCTGCGAAAATCGGTAATCATTCTCAACAACTCTATTCACCCCCCCCCCCTCTAGAGTTGCACGCCTTGTCTAACAATTGGTATCGCAGCGGGTATCTCTAACGCTCTTTGTGACGTTTGAGAAAACGATCAAAATTTTTTTTGAGAATGTTGAACGCAGGGATAGGAGAAGGGCAATCCACCGTAAGGCCGCCATTTTTTGATGGAACAAATTACTCGTATTGGAAGGAGCGAATGAGGATTTTTGTTCAATCAAACGACTTCAAAATTTGGCTTGCTATCAAGAATGGAGATAGCTTGCCGATGAAGAAGATAGGCGATACACTCATCCCGAAGGACGAGGATGAATATGATGAAGCTGACTTTAAGAAGGCCCAATTAAATGCCACCGCCATCAACTTCTTGTATTGTGCTGTCAATGCCAACGATTATCAAAAGATATCTCGTTGCCAAACTGCCAACCAAATGTAGAACAAGCTCCTGATCACATACGAAGGTACGCCTCAAGTTCGTGAATCAAAAATTGATTTAGAGTAAATTCCATAATTAGTCCTTTATAACAGGGGGGTTTCCATATTTAGTCCTCTATTATCAAATATTAACCACGTAGTCCTTTTTTAAGGGTACCTTTCCACAAATGGTCCTTTTTTTGATCTTCTGCCGTGTTGGTGTTAATTTAAAGGCTAAAAGTATAATTTGACATCAATATTATGTCTAGTGACGTGTTCTGATATTGATTAAGCGGATAACACAAAAATAATGACTATGATTGTAGGCTAGGATTCTGACGAAAGATCACATTTGTAGACTATAGTTGTCGTAAAAAGCGACTNGTAATATTTGATAATAGAGGACTAAATAGGGAAACCCCCCTGTTATAAAGGACCAATTATAGAATTTACTCATTGATTTACTAACCCATGAATATGAGTTATTCGCTATGAAAGAGAACGAACTTGTGGAGGACATGTTTGGAAGATTTTCAAACATCGCCAACGACCTTGATATAATGATATGCTTGGAAAGACGCTCACCGACAAGGAGTTAGTGAGGAAAATCCTGCGAAGTCTTACCAAGGAATGGGAGTCAAAGGTTAACTCCATCTACGAAGGCCGAGATTACAACGTCATCACATACGACGGTCTCCGAGGTAACCTTATCACTTACGAAACAAATCATCTTTCTCATACTCTTGACATTAAGAAGAGAACGGTAATTGCTTTTAAAGCATCTTCTTCTCAGAAAGTAGAAATCGATGATTCGGATTCAAATAGTGATAGTGATTCTAGCACTTCTTGTGATATTTTGGTTGAATGTTTTAACGAGTTTATGAAACATGAGCTTAATAAGAGCAAGAGAAAAAACACCCCAAGGTGTCATACGTGCAGAAAGCTTGGCCACCGAAAATTTGAGTGCCCGAAGCTCAAGAAAATGAGCAAACAAGATGAATTTGCGTATTTTTCGTGGAGTTATGATCAACCTTCCAAAGACGATTCCCTCATCAGTGTTGAAGAACAAGATGGGTGGTCGGGCACGTGGCGCACTTGAAAGGCGTGCTTGAAGGCTACAAATTTTGTTGTGGATGCTCCAAGCACTTAGCCAAAGAGATTGGATCAAAGGGAAGTGATTACATTTTTTAAATTAAATGTTATCTTTGAGATTTATTTGTGATAATTGTTATTTGGGGAATATACATAGGATTTTTTGCATATAGTAAGGGGGAATTTATTGCTATATGTGGTAATCTTTTTGTATGTTTTTTTAAGGGGTAGACATCATACTTTAAGGGGGAAGTATTTTGTTTCCTAGAAATGCATGATTTTAGGGGGAATGTGTTTTTTCTTAATTGTTTTTTTCTCCCCGGAATGCATGAGTTCTTTTGTTGCATTATTTTTGATAATGCCAAAAGGGGGAAGAGTATAGGAGTATATGCCTGATTTTGTTATTTGTTGATAGCATATCCTCCATGTGTTTGTCATTATCAAAAAGGGGGAAATTGTTGGAATGCATGAGTTCAACCCTTTCTGTGTTGTTAAGTGTTGACTCACAGGTTTTGATAATTGACAAACACAATTGATTCAAGTCAAGATCAAAGTGCCCCAACGACACACACGAAAACTTGAAGTATTCAAGAAGGTGCACAAGATTTTATTGGAGTCCGAGACGCGTTCGGAGCGCCTAACGGAGGACTCGGAGGAGTAGAAGATTTCCAAAGACTTTTTATTTATTTTAGTCTTAGGAATTATTGTAAGGATGACAAATATCTTCTCTCCAAAATTATTTTTATGAGAGTTAAAATAAAAATTATATTTATTTTTGGAGTCAGTTGAAAAATCTTTTTAACTGTTCAAATAGTTCTATTGAGTCACTTACAAAAGGTGTGCCAAACATTTATCAAATATTTATTTTGATATTATAAAATATTTTTGGTAAGCAAAAAAATTTTATTCAAATATTTTTCATGTACATCGTTTGACACACAAAATATTTTTGGGACTCAATTTCTACACCAAAATTCTTTATTTAATTCAAATTTTGAATTTGAATTAATTCTTTCAAACTTACTTGATTTGTTTGTTTTTGGGAGCGTTATAATGTTGAAAACATGTCCTAAACAAAACATTAAGCTCCAAATATCCATCCCACTCGCACACATGCTTTGGGTCCTCGTGTTTGGGCTCTGTCTGTCATTGGATCGATCCTTCTTTGTGGATCAATCACTTCGATATGTGCTCAAAGATTGGGATCGATCCAATCTTTCGGATCAATCACTTTGTTTTTTCGGCAATTCCGTTGGTGGATCGATCACCCTGTTTGGATCGATCCGCCGTAACTCTGTCCAAAATCATTTTTAGATTTTTGACTCTATAGGATCGATCCTTTCCTTTGGATCAATCCCCCGTTCTTTTGACAAAAATTTATTTTCGAAAGTTTACTCCAGATGATTGATCCTCAGCCCTGGATCGATCCCCAACGTCTTTTATCTCTCAAAATCAGCCTTCCCTACTCCTAACGGATTTATTTCTTTTTCCTCTATATAAACACTCTTCCTGGGTCATTTTTAACAATAAGAAACACTCCAATATTCCCCATTCTTGAGGTGTTAATCCTCCATCACTCTTTCCTCAAATTTATATTATTTTGAGAGAAAACTAAGTGTTTTCAAGAGAGTGTTTTGTCATCCATTAGAGCTTTAATCATTTCTCATTTCTACTCTTTTGAGAGCTTTTGTTGAGAGGTTGAAGAAGATTGTTCTTCTTGTTGTTCAAGACTTTTGTGACTTAAGTCTTGGTTGTAAAGTCTTGTAGAGGGCATATCTACGAGCGGTTGTGACGAGGCTTGTGAGATTCAAGTTCTCGAGTTGTAAACGATTTGTTAAGCACCCGAAAGCTTAACGGAAGTAGTGGTAGATTCGAGAGAGTCTCTCGGGGAACTGGACTAGCCACGAGGTGGTGAACCAGTATACATCGGTGTGTTCTTTGCCTTCTCTCTTTTATTTCCGCTGCACTTACGTTTATATTATTAATCCTGCGAAAATCGGTAATCATTCTCAACAACTCTATTCACCCCCCCCCCCTCTAGAGTTGCACACCTTGTCTAACAATTGGTATCGGAGCGGGTATCTCTAACGCTCTTTGTGACGTTTGAGAAAACGATCAAAATTTTTTTTGAGAATGTTGAACGCAGGGATAGGAGAAGGGCAACCCACCGTAAGGCCGCCATTTTTTGATGGAACAAATTACTCGTATTGGAAGGAGCGAATGAGGATTTTTGTTCAATCAAACGACCTCAAAATTTGGCTTGCTATCAAGAATGGAGATAGCTTGCCGATGAAGAAGATAGGCGATACACTCATCCCGAAGGACGAGGATGAATATGATGAAGCTGACTTTAAGAAGGCCCAATTAAATGCCACCGCCATCAACTTCTTGTATTGTGCTGTCAATGCCAACGATTATCAAAAGATATCTCGTTGCCAAACTGCCAACCAAATGTGGAACAAGCTCGTGATCACATACGAAGGTACGCCTCAAGTTCGTGAATCAAAAATTGATTTAGAGTAAATTCCATAATTAGTCCTTTATAACAGGGGGGTTTCCATATTTAGTCCTCTATTATCAAATATTACCCACGTAGTCCTTTTTTAAGGGTACCTTTCCACAAATGGTCCTTTTTTTGATCTTCTGCCGTGTTGGTGTTAATTTAAAGGCTAAAAGTATAATTTGACATCAATATTATGTCTAGTGACGTGTTCTGATATTGATTAAGCGGATAACACAAAAATAATGACTATGATTGTAGGCTAGGATTCTGACGAAAGATCACATTTGTAGACTATAGTTGTCGTAAAAAGCGACTNGTAATATTTGATAATAGAGGACTAAATAGGGAAACCCCCCTGTTATAAAGGACCAATTATAGAATTTACTCATTGATTTACTAACCCATGAATATGAGTTATTCGCTATGAAAGAGAACGAACTTGTGGAGGACATGTTTGGAAGATTTTCAAACATCGCCAACGACCTTGATATAATGATATGCTTGGAAAGACGCTCACCGACAAGGAGTTAGTGAGGAAAATCCTGCAAAGTCTTACCAAGGAATGGGAGTCAAAGGTTAACTCCATCTACGAAGGCCGAGATTACAACGTCATCACATACGACGGTCTCCGAGGTAACCTTATCACTTACGAAACAAATCATCTTTCTCATACTCTTGACATTAAGAAGAGAACGGTAATTGCTTTTAAAGCATCTTCTTCTCAGAAAGTAGAAATCGATGATTCGGATTCAAATAGTGATAGTGATTCTAGCACTTCTTGTGATATTTTGGTTGAATGTTTTAACGAGTTTATGAAACATGAGCTTAATAAGAGCAAGAGAAAAAACACCCCAAGGTGTCATACGTGCAGAAAGCTTGGCCACCAAAAATTTGAGTGCCCGAAGCTCAAGAAAATGAGCAAACAAGATGAATTTGCGTATTTTTCGTGGAGTTATGATCAACTTTCCAAAGACGATTCCCTCATCAGTGTTGAAGAACAAGATGGGTGGTCGGGCACGTGGCGCACTTGAAAGGCGTGCTTGAAGGCTAAAAATTTTGTTGTGGATGCTCCAAGCACTTAGCCAAAGAGATTGCATCAAAGGGAAGTGATTACATTTTTTAAATTAAATGTTATCTTTGAGATTTATTTGTGATAATTGTTATTTGGGGAATATACATAGGATGTTTTGCATATAGTAAGGGGGAATTTATTGCTATATGTGGTAATCTTTTTGTATGTTTTTTAAGGGGTAGACATCATACTTTAAGGGGGAAGTATTTTGTTTCCTAGAAATGCATGATTTTAGGGGGAATGTGTTTTTTCTTAATTGTTTTTTTCTCCCCGGAATGCATGAGTTCTTTTGTTGCATTATTTTTGATAATGCCAAAAGGGGGAAGAGTATAGGAGTATATGCCTGATTTTGTTATTTGTTGATAGCATATCCTCCATGTGTTTGTCTTTATCAAAAAGGGGGAAATTGTTGGAATGCATGAGTTCAACCCTTTCTGTGTTGTTAAGTGTTGACTCACAGGTTTTGATAATTGACAAACACAAATGATTCAAGTCAAGATCAAAGTGCCCCAATGACACACACGAAAACTTGAAGTATTCAAGAAGGTGCACAGGATTTTATTGGAGTCCGAGATGCGTTCGGAGCGCCTAACGGAGGACTCGGAGGAGTAGAAGATTTCCAAAGACTTTTTATTTATTTTAGTCTTAGGAATTATTGTAAGGATGACAAAAATATCTTTTTTCTCCAAAATTATTTTTATGAGAGTTAAAATAAAAATTATATTTATTTTTGGAGTCAGTTGAAAAATCTTTTTAACTGTTCAAATAGTTCTATTGAGTCACTTACAAAAGGTGTCCCATGTGAAATGGGTGACGGACGGGGAGAGGAATTTGGGGTACTTTCACTCTGTTGTGAAGAATCGCCGGCGGAAGCTTTACATTCACCGCATACAGGATGATCATGGGCAATGGGTCATGGAGAGAGCTGCGATTGCGACGCAGGCGATCACCTTTTTTCAGGCCATGTTCACAGCAGATCCTAGTGTCACAGCTTCGGCCTTAGATATGATTCCACGACTGGTCACTGATGATGATAATGCCCGGCTATGTGCTGTTCCGGAGATGGAGGAGGTCAAGACTGCGGTCTTTGCTATGGATTCTAGGAGTGCAGCGGGACCTGATGGCTTTACTGGGGCCTTTTATAAGGCCGCTTGGACGATCATTTGCATGGACTTATTGGTGATGGTGAAGGCTTTTTTCTTGGGCCACGATCTGACTCGTTCTCTCACGCATACTTCTATTGTTTTGTTGCCCAAGAAGCCCAATCCTGTGACCTTTGCGGACTTTAGACCCATCAGTTTATGTAATTAATGCAAGAAGATCATCACGAAGATTATGGTGGTTCGCTTGGCTTCTGTGCTTCCTCGGTTGCTCTCCCCACATCAGAGTGGGTTTGTGGCGGGGCGCTCTATCACTGATAATATTCTTTTGGCCCAGGAGTTGTGTCACGGGATGCAGGTGGATAATGAAGATGTCATTCTGAAGCTGGATATGATGAAGGCCTATGATCGGGTCTCTTGGTATTTTTTGATGTCAGTGCTGCGCAGATTTGGATTTTCGGAGAATTGGATCGATCTGGTCTATCGGGCCATCTCGAATATATGGTACTCCGTCATTATTAATGGGATTCGAGAGGGTTTTTTTCATTCGATGAGGGGCCTGCAGCAGGGGGACCCACTCTCTCCGTCCTTGTTCATCCTTTCAGCGGAGGTCCTTTCTCGCTCTTTGGCTCGACTGTATGCAGATCCTATAGTTGCTCATTTTACACAGCCCCGTGATGCACCACATATCCATCATCTGGCCTACGCCGACGACATTGTCATCTTCACTTCGGCGAGGGGGGACACTTTAGAGAGAGTTCGAGCAGTTTTACGTTCCTATGAGCAGATTTCAGGCCAGGCTGTCAGCCTCCGTAAGAGTGCCTTCTATATGCACCCTAAGGCGTTGGCACCCGTGTTGGAGCGTGTTCGAGATACCCTCGGGTGTTCATTGGATGTGTTTTCATTCACTTATCTTGGCTGTCCTATTTATCATGGTTGGAAGCGCATTCATTACTTTGAGCCTATTCTGAAAAAGATGCGGGACAAGTGTTGTGCGTGGATGGGGCGCTATCTTTCTCCGTGGGGGAAGGCTATTATGATTAAGAGTGTTCTGCAGGCGATCCCGACACACTTGCTCGCTGCACACTTTCCTCCCAAGACAGTGATTCGAGAGATGGAGTCTATCATGGCACGATTTTTTTGGTCTGGCTTGGGAGGGACTCGACGCTACCATTGGGGATCTTGGAAGACTCTGGCACGACCAACGAGGGAAGGTGGGGTCGGCTTCCTTGATTTTATGACTTTGGCTAAGTCTTGTTCGGCCAAGCTCTGGTGGAACTTTAGGACACAGGACACTATTTGGACGGCATTCATGAGGGCTAAGTACTGTAGTCGCGTCCATCCTGTGTCCAAGCAGCGTGTTAATGATGATTCGCACACATGGAAGCGCATGCTAGATGTTCGAGCCGTGGTTGAGCCTGTGATTCGATGGCGTGTACTCTCTGGCACGTCTAACTTCTGGTGGGATACATGGTCTGGACTGGGTGCCTTGCATCGCCAGGTCGATGGCTGCAGTGGGTACTGGACTGATGGAGTGGGTGATATGTATCGCTCTGATTTTATGATTGACCATGATGCTCTACCCCCTGATTTATTACGGCAGTTTCGCCTTGAGCCGCCATCTCTTGTTTCTGATCTTGTGGATATTCCGGTCTGGACCCCGTCTACGGATGGGAAGTTTACTCTTGCTTCTGCGAAGGAGCTTCTTAGACCGAGGAGGAATGATGAGGTGGAGGACATTGTGCTTAAGAAGTGTTGGCAGAAACACTTACCCTATAAGATGTCCTTTCTAGCATGGCGCGTTTTGGAGAGGCGCCTTCCCACTGATGATGTCCTGGCGAGATTTGGCTTTGCTTTGCCTTCTCGGTGCTTATGTTGTTCACCGCCAGGACGGGAGACCATTACACATTTTCTATCATGGGAGCATGGCGCGGCATGTTTGGACTTATTTCACAGAGTCTGCCCGTATCCGGGGCACACATCACAGTTTGAGGTCCGCCTTGAGTATATGGTGGGCGCAGAGGCCGAGGAGCAGGATGCTCTCGTTCCTGTTCCACCGCCTGCCGATGATCATTCGTTCGGAGATTTGGACGCACTATGCTGCGTGCAAGTATGGGGATGCTCGCCCCAACTTTGCACGCATTATTTTCCGGGTGGCTACGGCGATGTCGGAGTGCATCTATCGTCGCTGGCCTAGCGGGGGTCTCTTGCCTTCCCGATGGTCGGTGATCATGGAGCACGTTCGACGAGGCTCTGGACGCAGGAGGGTGGTTCCGATTCGGTGGGTCCCACCGCCGGGTGGCACCATCAAGGTGAATGTGGCGAGGGCCCCGCTACGTGGGGCATTTGCAGCGATCGTGCGTGACTCGACAGGTAAGTTTCTTTATGCTCTTTCTTCTATTGCATTCAGGTGGGAACCAGTGGAGCGTGGAGGGATGGATGTGCTTCTTCGGTGTATTCAGTGGTGTATATCCCAGTCCTTCTTGCGTATCCAAGTGGAGTCCCATCATTCAGAGCTAGCTTGTTTCTTTAGAGAAGGTACCCCGTGGTACTTTCATGATGTTTATGCTAGACTGCGTTTCCTCTGTTCTATCGTGACGGTCCAGTGGTTTCATTGTGACGTGCGGGCGAATGCCCCGACGACTGAGTTGGCATTGTGGGCCGTGGATAGTAAAGAGGGGACGCGGGAGTTTACTAATCTGCAAGATCTTGACATTCGGGTACGATCTCTCCTTCCTATGGACGATCTGCCCTTCTTTCGCATAGATGAGGATGGGGGTAACCCCTAGTTGTACTGATTTGGGTGCCTTAACGATCGCATCTGCGGTTAAGAGGCGCACGTATGTACCCACGGTTAAAGGGTGCCCGTTGGTTCCCGCGGTTTGGGGCCACGTGTTGTACCGACGGTGAACGGTGCCTTTGCGAGATGACGGACGTAGTTTCGCAGAGTTTCTTTCGCCCCCGTCGACTCCTGCGGCTCCTGGGGTACGTCGGCGCTTGCGTCTGAGTTTTTAGCGCCCGTAGTTGCTAGCGGTATTTGGCATCCTAGCCCGGGCAGTGGCTGTCCGGTAAAGGCTTTTTCCATCTTGCACTTCATCTGAGTGCCTTAACAACCGCGCCTGCGGTCAAAAGACGCACGTATGCGTCCGCGGTAAAGGATGCCCGTCAGATCTTGCGGATTGTGGATTTGAGCACCCGTGGCGCACACGGAAAGTGCGTATGCGTGGTACCGTCATCAAATCGGTGCCCTCGTTGGGACGCTGGGTGGGGCCCGACGAGGTTTCTTCCGCCCGCGTCAGTGCTTGCGTGTGAGGTTAGAGCACCCGCTATCTGTCGGCGGTAATGGGCTAAGGGTTGGCCACTGACCCATAGTGGTACCTCTTCCTTCCTTCTCCATTTCTCTTGGGATTTCCCCTCTTGGAATCTCTTCACTTTTCATCTTCATCATTGTGGATTTGGACTTTCTTGAGACTGCTTCACTGGTTATTTTCTTGGATTTTGGACTTTCTTGGATTTCTACTCGGCTGGACTACTTGGATTTGGTTGGGTTGAGACTTCTAGTTGGGCCGTGGCATTGGCG